TCTCTCCCACAGGTAAATGATTTTAGTTTGGGAATTTTTTACCTAAATGTACTTGTTTCAAAGTTTTCTGACATTATTTTATTTAACTTTTGTAACCAAAGATACATTAGTATGTGTAGATGACAGATTAAAAAACATTTTGATTGATTGATTGATTGTATGTTGTTTTTAACGTCCTATTCGAGAATTTTTCACTCCTATAGAGAAGTCACCATTTGTCGGTGAAGGGCTTCAAATTTAGACCTATACTCGATCGGCACTCGGGGCCATTGATCAGTGGGGGTTCTTTATCATGCCAACGCCTACCGAGACACGGGATCTCGGTATTTAATATCTCATCCGAAAGATCGATGAGCCGGGTGCTTGGCGAGGGAACAGTCACTACCTATGTTTACGTCTTAGGTTTGACACGGCCCGGCGAACGAGAATCGAACCCGGGCCTCTCGATCACGAAGCAAGCGCCCCAAAACATTTTGAGTTTTAGTTTTGTGGATCGTATGAGAGGAGGGGCTTCTTGATATTAATGACCCATTTCACTCTTCTAACCTGTTAAGTGGTCAGGGTCATTTAATATATGAAATATTTTCTTAATCGTCTGGAAGAAGAGTTAAATTTTACCAGGTTGACTCACGTGGTTTTTGACACGTATTAGGGCTTAGCACCGCAAACAGATTAACATGAAGTATTGTCAATGAATCTACACAGTACTTTTAATGAAAAATAAATTCTTTCTTCTAATGAATTATAAATTCTTTCCTGACAACCTAATTCTGACACTTTCTATTCCTTATTGAATTGTGTGAGCATTTAATGAAGACATTGGATTATGAGCTAAGCGAAAATGTCTACTGGATCATTTCTTCACCTTCATGGAAATGTATTAAAATGAATCATGTAACTCTTATATTCATAATTGAAATTTACTTTTTTACAGCAAATTATGCATCTGTATTTAAAAAATGATAAAATATGCAGTGGTGGATTTTTTATGTAATATTTCATTTTCTTTTCCTTATCACTTGTTTATGTTGCAAATGTCAATTATTTAAAACACTCTGAACCAAACTTTAAAAAAATAAGAAAAAATCATGTTAAATCAAATGGCCATCAATGTTTTTATTATTTTAAATGATTATTTCTTTAAGCTTTTGTCAAAATTGTGTTTTTCTGTATGGAAGTCAGTGTAATTCGACATCTTTGTTTTTAATCTGTCTTCCCGAAATAAAGTGGTCAGAGATAAAATGAAGCAGATTAATCCCTCCCTTTCACCCCATCCCATCCTAGAATTTTTATTCTTTCCTTCTCTTTAGCAGATCTGAAAGGATATCCACATTTCATAATTCGTTAACGGTTAGACTAAAAATATACGACGTAAAATGGGTAAAAAAAAAAAGAGCAAAAAATAATTCATGTTTTCATTATTTTTTAAACAATCCATGCCTACGATCTATTTTATCAAAATCTGAGATAAATAGCGATAGATATTCATATATATTGTACTCTAATGATGGAATAACGAGTGAAACCCTGGGTGTCTCTTTGCAAAACGGAAAAAGAAACATACTGTTGGTGCGAATCAAAGCAATCAAGTTTACATCGTAAAAGACATAGAATAAGTTTGAATGCTTGTAATTAATAGGTGTAAATCGCAGTGAGACGAGTGTACAAATTGTGTCTAATCTCTTTCGTGTTATATTAACTATATTTGCTCTGGTAGTTTATCATTGGTCAGTTAAGGGTGTAACTAAAGCTCTTATTTATTTGACAAGGCGAATTCAATCTGTTGTCAGGACACATTTTCGTTTTCGATGGCATGAATATCCGGTCATCGGGATATATATCTTCACCTTCGATATTGCACTAATCGTAGTTTGCTGGTGTAAATCTATACTTAAAGATTAATAAACTCCGAAACGCCTGCACCAGAGTTCATGCTTACAGTGGCGTAACGCCCTTTACGCAACAAATGAACCCTAACGAAAATTTACTATAGTTAACTATAGTTAAAACTTTGATACTTTGATTTACTATGAAATTTTACTCAGGATTTTTTTTTGAGAATTCAAAGCTTAAAATCTCTTAAATTCAATAACAGTGATGTAAAATTTGGAAATAATATATGACTATACAAATAATAGTTCCATTTAATAGAAAAAAAAGTGCATGTATGAATTGAAGAACAAAAAATTTAACAATCTGAAATCCATAGTAAAAATACTTTGATTTACTATAGTAAAAAAAACTTTGATACTATAGTAAACTATAGCTAACTATAGTAAACTATAGTTAACTGTAGTATTTTTTGTTGGGAAATACACAGATTTTTCAACAAAATTAAATACATTTTTAAATAAGATAGAAAAAGATGTCGAAAGTTTAATAATAGATCAAAATAAAATGGGTTACATGTATAAAAAAAATTCTAGATTTATAACATAATTATTAAGCTACATTTAACAATAAGGAAAAAATAAAGAGCTCAGACAGTTTGAAAAATTAGCCAACTTTACACCTAGTGTGGTATTTTAAATGTTAAATATGAAATATTCCATTTGAAATTGATCAGCGAATATGTGCTGACATTTGGTACTTTGCATTTCTGATTGTTAATTTCACACTGTGAAAAAAAAAAACACTTGTGAAAACATAAATTATATTCAATGGACGATATGAATTGCAGAATATCACTGTTGCAAATGTAATGTCTTAGTTAATTCATGATAACAAGAAATGCTTTTTGAAGAAGGAATTTGTGGAGTTGTACATGTAAGTATTGTTAAAACTCAGCAGTTTTATGTTAATATCAAGCAGAACTACATGTACGATTTTAAAAAATAAAAAAAGGTAATTTTCTTATGTAAAAACCCTAATATTTCATGGGCTTCCGGGGGCTCGCCCCCTGGGCCCCCACCAGGGTCCTGCAAGGCCCTGTAGTAATTGTCAGTAGAAACTTCAAGATATTTTATTTAAATTGGTTCCTCAGCAGTGGTTAAAAATTCATTCCCTGCGCTTGCGCGGGATTTTATCTAATAAAAATTATTTGTTTAAAAAAAACGAAGAAACTCCAAATATATTGGTTTATTATCATTCTAAGTACTTCAAAGAAATATTACATACATGTAGTGCTTCTTTCCAAGAGTTCAGATGAGGTGTTTAAAATTATCATGAGAAAGTGCAACTCCTCAAAAACACTTTCCAAGAGCAATACAAAAGGTACTGCCAACTAAAGCCGAAAGTATGACATAATGGGAGAAAACACAAACATAATACAGGGGGAAATGAAAGTACGCACCATTACATTGGAATAAAAGGGAGGTCCCAAGGGCCTTAACGGTCACCTGAATATAATACAACCCTGTAAAGGATCCATGAAATGGTAAATAATAATTATAATAACACAAAATAAAACAAGAGATAAAGGGTGATGAAGACTCAACAAAATAGTTAGCCTGGTAATCAGCATCAACTCGGAAACTCCTCTGTATGTGTTAGGGCTATCGAAATTCCATCACTATCACCAAATATTTCAATAATGCTTAAGCATAAAACACAATATTTACAGTACACCCAGCACAATCCCCATTTCAAATTGGTCTCTCTTGGCCTTTGAATAAAATTTAATGTACGTATATAAGATATCATTGTCTCAATTTTATCAATCTGTTATTTATAAATTTACTTGACTATTAAAAACTATGCACTTTTTTATAATATATTTTTGAAATACTTATTTTTTTAAGTATCAAGTATTTTAAAAAAAAAATCAGAAAAACATTGTTTTGAAAAATAATTAAAGATTTTGTTCTGAAAATGCTACAGATGCAATTGCCATAACGATATTTTTTTACAATTCAAATTTATAGCGATGTCCATCATTCGCTTTCACTTTGCAGATCATCGGTATTGTGACGTCACATATGATCAGAACGTTAATTTTTTGTGCTTTGCGTCAATATTATTATATATTATATTATATTATCATCATTGGATTTGATTTTGCAACTTCTCAATAATATATGAGTGTTTGGGTTTTAAACATACAACACTTCATAAAAGAAAGCCGTTTAAATTGGTACATAAGAATTTCTAGCCTGCACTAAGATTAAACACTCAGACACTTGGATATTTTTCATATCCTTATAAAGAAATGTTAGAGTTGGAAGTTTGTTTTTATTTTGCTATAATGGAAATCAAAGGAAAAATTTCTGGATCCACTTTTTTAGGTTCGATGTTGATCATTCAAAAAGAAATCAATGAACTACTCAATAATTGCTGCTATTTAATGGTCAGTTTGTTTCCAAATGCAACAAGAAAAAAGAATTATGCATGTTGAAAGATTATATTTGCATTATAATGGTAATGGCTCTTCAAAATTATAGTGAGTAGAGTATAAACTATAATTTGGAAAAAAAAATTAAAATTCGAAGACGGAGCCCAGCTGTAAACAACATTCATATTATCAAAATTTTAATCTCAGTTAAAGTAGGGGATTTTGCTTCAAAATACAATGTACACATCGATCATAACATCAGGTACCAATTACCACAGTCATTGACTACAAACTGGTTGTAAAGAAATCAACTCTTACACTCTTGATACTTAACTTCCCTTGTTTCAAAAATTTTACATCAATGGCCATTTTATGTTGAGGTTTATTTGCAGCAGTATCTATATTCTAGGCCGACGTACTTTGTTTTCGAGTTTATGGCCATCATAAGCAAAATACACAAATAATTTACAAATAATTCCAATACGAGATATCAGTAAAAAAAGCAAACACTCTTTAAAAAATCAAACTTCAGTTTATTTAGAATATAAATATATTTAACTGATAGAATCACCGCCTTCAAATGCGAGTTTATAGAAAAATGAGATAGGCTCTTTATGTACAATTTTTGTTCAAAGTTCAAAGGAAGAATATAATTCATTTCTGTTATTCATGAACATAACAACAAAATGGTGAAATTTAAAGCTTAAAATTTCTAAATTCATAGATGAATTATTTAAAAACACATATCCAACAAGTCAATCATAGAAAGATAAGACAAAATCTTATAAAGGCAAATGCCGATTATGGGAATATCTGTTCTCCTTTAACAAGTACATTTGGCGAGTCTTTGACTCTGTTCATCCTTCCAATAAATCAATTTCGTTTGAATCCCTATGCTGTGCTGTCTTTGGTCTTTTTGCTGCAATTCTTGGCTTCTTGGGCACTGCTTCCCTTCTTATCTTTGCTTTCTCCAGTTTCTCAGTTAATTTCTTGTCTTTTGTTTCTCTACTCTGCATGTTTGAGAACAGTCACACACACAGAGAGAGAGAGAGAGAGAGAGAGAGAGAGAGAGAGATTAACTTTTCCTCTTACCATAATCTTCTTGAACTATTCTTGAAGCTGTAATCTTGATGGGTGGAAGTTTTGCTGGAAGAGCAGCCTTAAGGCTAATGTTGAAAGCCATTCCATCTTTTTTCTTTACAACATCAGAGATTTCGTTTCCCTCAGCAGGGTTAGTGCGCATCCTCTCTACTTCTAGCGGTGAAGAGCTAAACATCAGCCACGGCAGGGGTTTTTTTTGGATAGTTTCCTCCAGTTCTTCGTTTTTCAGTTCTCTTTCTATTTTCTTGTATGCTTCTTCTTCTTCGTCGGTCATAATGCCAACTTTGTTACTACGCTTCCTCATACAACTATGGAGAAGACCCATTTTGACAGCTGTAGTTAGGTTTACTGTTATGTCACACCTACTGTGACGTCAAATCATTATGACGTTATCGTGACGTTTGTAAAGTGATATTTATTACTGGCACAGAAGCAACCGATCCATGCATTTGTGGTTATGTTAGAAATTTAAAAATTGGAAAGGGAGATGTTCTTTTTTTATCATTTTGATGGAATAATTTCTTAATGATAACATAATTGTATGTAAGTTCTGAATAAGTTATGAATCATAGTGAGATAATGCCGCAGTAGTGGCCCTTCACTTTAAAGGAAGAAGAAATGATTTAAACTGTTTTATTTTATTTCTTTGTTGTTGTAATTAATAAGTTTTTTAATCTATTTTCCATTTTTCATGGGATATTCACAAAATTTAACAAGAAGTACTCCCAAGGATTAGAATGAGTGATTTAAAATAGCAATTTGTTATAGTTTTTTTTTTTTTGTAAATTACTGTATGCTAAAAGAAAAAAGAGAAAATTATATTCTGAATGTGCAACAGATGCGAATGGCAAGATATTCCAAGGACACTTCACACAGCGCCGTATAGCAGATAATCACGTGACATGGATCCAAGACCATCACGATCAACACGTGGAAAGTTTGCGGCCGATTTGAAGCTTTGGCAATTACATCAATTTTAACCATAAAATGCTTTCTTTGGTTGTTAGTACGGGAATTAATGTCGCAGCTGTTGCAGAAAAAAATACATAACCCGCGTAAATAATCATTTAAAGTAGGATTAAAAAGATTAATTATTGTATTATTGATATGTACATGTACGTCATATTACGTTTCATTGATGGAACAGCCTAGGGTTGTTCATGAACTGATAAACGGCGATGGTTTTCTTTAGAAATAAAGGAGAAAATATTCAGTGGATGTAAATATATACATGTATTATCTTGTCTCATTTTGTATTTAGTCGCAAAAATTAATAGCTGCAGTTGGATTTCAGTCTGATGAATATAGCGAATAAAAGTTGTCTCGAATAATAGTACATGTAGTAGTTGATTTACATATAAAATAGTTCAAAAATTGCTATGAATTCATTTTTAATGCTTTTGGGGAAACAAAGTTGAAATATATGAAAAACAGATATAATGGTTAGATATATGTTTCTGCCTCTAGTAATTTTAAAAAAAATTTAATTCGTTCTAATACTAGTATGTTGACGGTGCGACCGTTGGGGCGAGCGGATTGTTCACTTAATTTTCAAACCGCACGAGACATTTGGAACGTCTAGACTGTGACGTCACAGACGTCGAATGTTAGCTGTATTTCCATAAACGAAGTTTGAAAAGTGCAACAATTTTAACAAAGAACGTTTAATCTACTATCTGTATGCAATTCTATTAAATTAAGGTGAGTTTTTTTTTGTGAATTTTTAGTTGTTGTTATCGCGCGAACGAAGTTAGCAGCGAGAACAACAAGCGATGCATTGTGGGTCCAGAACTGAATGGTGCAGTAGTCCGAATTTTCTCTTCGCCCAGGCGTTGTCGTTAGAGGTCACAGTGACGAGCGGCGCTTTGCGCCGCTCGCTGCGCTCGCTATAATATCTGGGAAACAAAATTATACGAAAAACAAGTAAAGGTGGGTTTTTTTTTATTTGTATTTTTTTTTATTTATTTTTTTTTAAGTATTGTAAATTATAATACGCCATGCATGTCCACGTATTTTTAATTTCTGCACGTCCTACTTGTTGCTTTCACCACAGTTGATAATATTATATTTATTTATAATTGGTATTGTATTTACCTTTCCATCTTTAAACTGTCGTTTACTAAATAAAGAGTTATTAAAAAAAAAAAACTCTTGAGTTTAGCACTTATCAAAAGAATTTCACATAATCCATTATTTAGTAAACGACACAGTTAAAAAAGAATAAGATTGAAAAAGACTCAAAAAGCAATTTTTTTTTAATGCAGTATGTTTCAGAATTTCCTATAGCATGAAAATTTACAAAATTAATTGAAAAGAATTAAACATGCACAATGATTACAATGATAACGCTGGAATGTAAAGAAAATCAAGATCAGAAAACAAATCATACAAACAATACTACAATAACTATAAAGAGTACTAATCGTAGGGGGGGGGGGGGTTGTAGAGGATCACATCAGAAGTTTTCAGAGCCAGACGGGTAAATAATGCTCCTAACGCATTATAATGAGAAGGATAAGCTTAAGGCTTAAGATATTCAATCGTAATGTAACGTCAGTCCAGCTACATGAAGCAGAAACCCGAAGAATCGGCTTTAAAAACTCTCAGAAACTTCATTCTTAAAGGCCACTGGCTCATAAAAAAATCTTAGATCAGCTAGTCAAACAAAATAACATATGAAATATTATGGGAAAGTCAGAGCAAGGCAAGAAACCATAGAAAGAGTGTATTTGGAGAGGGAAGGGGGGGGGGGGGTGAGGATACAACAGTTTGGAGAAAAATCTGAAAATTATGGAATACTTGCTATAACAGGAAAGATTCAAATCAAATGGAAGTGACGACAGATGTGGTATTCACTAGAACCATATCAGATACACAAGTTTACTTCAGTGAAGGAACAGATCAGAGAAACCGAGAAAGTTTATTGTAATGTACGGCTAAACAGTTTCTTTTTATTTAAATCACATGAAACTTTTGAAAGAACAATACAGAAAGAACACCATAGCTTAAAAAATGTTTGTGATAAAATCAAGAAAGAGCAAATGAAATTCGGTTTAAAAACTGTAATTCAAACACGTGGAACAAAGAAAAAAGTGCACTATGTCTATTTTTTTTTAGGGGGGGGGGGTAATTTTGACGTTTTGCTAAAAAGCCTAAAATATATTTATTAAATATATTGATTTTTTTTTTGGAAGGGGGGGGGGGTCTCAGCAATATGAAAACTTATTAACAGCATTCGAATATATAATGGTATATGGGATGGAAAGATGTAAATGCGGAGAGATTATGAAGAATTCACAGTTTTAATACAATCGAGAGAAATTTTGAATTTCACTTTGTTTAACAACGAAAACTTGAGGAACTTGAGAAGCAGTACATAAAAATACCTTTAAAAAACGCAGGTTTATTATAAGATATGTTTCCTCTTTTTTTAAATTTCCAAGTAGAGGCTTGTCATAAAGGTTAACAGTCTTTGAATGCAAGGTGTGAAATTATTATATATGCATGAAAAGTACACGTATTTCAGTTTAAAGCCCATTGAAATTTGCTTAATTAAATTCTTAATGTCATTTGAATTGCTAACTGCTAAATAGCAATAATATTTCTGAAGCAAAATGAAATTTGAAAAATAATTTTACACAACACCCAATCAAATAAACAGGAAAAATTGCAACGTATGTTTAACATATGTTGAACATACGTTGCAATTTTACCTGTGTATAATTCAAAAACGAGTTCCTGGGGAAAAACACGTCATTTTTCAATTCTGTCAAGATAGAAAAACTGAATCACGTAGTACGAGACATGTAAACATGAATTTATACTAAGAACACAGAAAAAAAACGAAGTCATCTAAAATGCACAATTGGAAATTTAGCACTTCGTGGGTAAGAGACAGATCTTGCAAATAAAAATAAATATAAAGTAATTGCTGAGCTCGATTAACAATATACCCCCATCCCACCCCACCCTCAAAAAAGAAATGCAATCGACAATTATCAAATGGCAATAAGCAACTAAAATTCGAAACTTTTCTGTTAGGCTTTAAGTTAAAACTAAGTAATAACTGGAATGGAGCCTCAAACACTTAGTAATTGACAGCAAATATATTATATATAATATATATAATAATATATTAATGTTTGATTTCAAAAAATGCCATAAGGGGAACAGTTATCTAGTTTTCTTTATTTGATATCTAAGAATAAATATTTATTGCTGGGCATTCATATAATTTATTATAGAGTAATAAAGAATGATTTCTTCAATTAAAGAAAAAAAATAATTGGCGATTTTCCTTTAATTTTCTAAAGATGGCCTTTTTGGCTATGATAACAGAAAAAAACTACTAAGGCTGGTATCATTTACATTGGCAATGTCTCAATCTTTCTCCCAAACTGTAAGAGAAATATAATCCATAGGATTAATGTTTAAAAATGGAGCTAGATTGTTTTCTAGATTAAATTCAATGAAATGCCAAATAACACGACTGATTATAAATAGTGCTCAAAACAAAGTTTTTGTGAGAAACTTGATTTAAAAACGTAGGAATGGACGAAAAGCTATTTACTATTTTCCTCCAAATGGTAGTGGAGATTTTTGTAAAATAATGTCTATATCCCTAAAAGACAAATGAACAAAGAGAGAATGAAAAGGTAGAAGAAAATGTTTGACCTGTCTTTCATGAGATACAAACTTGTGCAAAGGACAGAGCAAAATCCATGAAAAAACAATATCCATAGTGATCTTTCCCAACGAATTTAATTTGAAAAGTTTCTCTGTCGTCTTGTAGACTTGATTTTGCATGCAAGTGCGTGAAACATTTCATACTTAATGTACAAAACTGCTTAAGAATGAGTTGTCTTTGACAAATGCAAATAGATGACATTAAGAAAGAATTCGAAACAATTAGATTATGATACTGAGAATTATCCAAGTAACTAAAATTAGAAAAACAGATTCACATAATAAATTTTAGAATGTGTTTAAAGATTTCATTGTAACTATAAATGTACATCAATACTACATACAGGGTAGATACTAGGGATGTCAAAATATTTATTTTCCTTAGTCGATCATTCGATTGCATTATTCGAACGATAGTCGAATATTCGGAACATTTTCTGAAAATAAAATTTTATTTCAAACTTCACTGGTACATACTCAAAAACCTTTTTAGTTAAATCTATTTAAAAAGTAACATCAAAATTAATGCAACGTAAGCGTGGATAGCATGATTTTATGAAATAAATTTAGAAACCTAATTCTCCAAATTTTATTATTTCCCCGTCAATAGAATTCATAAATCGGCCTGTACATGCAGTCATTTTTTATTTAGTAAGCATTAAAAATTTGCCAGTCGATATTTTTTAAAGCTTATTATGAAATAAAGTGGAGGGGGCTATCAAAATATCCTCAAACAGTTTAAAATGTAAGCGCATTGTTTTAATAATTATCAAAGTATCAAAACAGGTTTATATCTTGCATTTGAGCAAACTTAAAATAACAAAAGATAA